GAAGCAGGTCTCGAGGTCCTTGTCGGTGAGTGAACTTCAAGTCGACAGATGCCAAATTGCTGCTCGTACCGACGGCTGTTGGGATGCCGTGCTTGCGGAGATGTTGGATCAGTTTGTACGCCCCGGGTAGCAGGACACTATGGAGAAACATCGAATGACTGATGACGTCCATGCGTTGGAGGAATTCCGCCGGGCTAATCGGGAGTTGAGCATCTTCGACGATGATCTTCGAGTAGTCTTGGCGAGTTCTGCCGATGATCTTCCGGCACAGTTCGAGGCTGTGACGTTTTCCGAATTGGCGCAGAACTCCATCGATGGACTTGAAGTAGACCTTCTCGGTGTCGAAGATCGTGCCATCGAGATCGAAGATGCAGTGGGTGACCTTTTTGAAAGCCATGGTTGCTCACAGAGTTCCTTGTTGCCTTTTCTCGTTGAAGTCGCTCTCAGCTCGAAAGTCTTCGTTCGTTGTGCTTAACCAACACCTGTCCTCCCATTTTTATTCCACCCCACCATCCCTCCCGTCGCAGAGAGAGTGAATGAAACGACTCGACGTGAAGGGTGAGAGTTCCCCCAATCCGGTCCGGGAAAAGAGGCGGGGTGCGCTTGATTCTCGGCCACCCATTCTCAGCGTTCCGTGAAACCGATTCGATGGGGAGCCCGTAGTTCGGAAGGAGGTCGTGTCGGTGAGAACTGTCTTCTGATGATGCTGTCTGTCCCCTGATGAATGCAGGCGTCAGGTTGCATGGAGTTCTTCCGAGGAACTGCTTTGGATTTGCCGGTATCATTTCACGGAAGTCTCAAGTCATCTCTCATTCTCGCATGTCCATCATTTTCGCATTTTGACAGAAAGTCCAGGATCGGTTCGGGCTCTGTCGATTTTCGGAATAGGGTCTGGGCACTCATTGCTTCTCGTAAATGAGAGTCTCTCCGGTCTACGTTGCCCTCGCAGGGCTTTCCCCCTCTCCCCGACGGGAGTCCTCCAACGGAGACTGCGCGGAGACACACACGAAGTAGCCTTCAGCGGAAAAGCACGTTGGGAAGCCCCTGCGAGATACGGTATTCCGGGAGAGCGACCTCCAGCGGAGTATTAGCTGTCTTAAGTGTTGTCAACCCACGCAAACCCCCGCGGTGTGTAACATTTGTGTCAGAAGTACTCGAAAACCCACCTTTTTGTCGCTTTCCCTGGCTATACTTGCCATACAGCAAGTCCTCGGAAGCAGCTCCGTACCGGCGTGCCCTCGTGGGAGAAATCAGCAACCCAGCGGCGATACAGCTTCAACATCGGATCGGCTGCCCCTGTGAAGCGCCGGCGAGCGTTTTTCAACCAGGTTCGTGCAGCACGTAGCTCTACGTGCACTCATCGGCAGCGTGACCACGTGCCTTAGGCTTAGGCCCAACACAGCGTGCATCAGCATCATCGATCGCATCCAGGCGTGAGTTCCCGTACTCAACTGATTGATCCCACCGCGGATCTTCGTCAGGCGTGAGTCACCGCACTCAGCTCCCTAGATCGCAGCTCAGATCACCAGATGCTGTACCGGTTGGAGGTCTCCCAATTCTGAAACAGTCTCGGAATTCGATAGCGGAGTGCTCCCTGGGTTCAAGAATAGATAACGCGGCAACACGTGAGCCACAGGGAGATCGGCGACGTTGTCTTCTTCTAAAAGACGACGATTTCCGAGCCCCCCCCCAAGTTACAGGCTTCGACGACGTCAAGAGGGCTCGAATATCTCACAGAACCTTTCCCACTGTTCTCTCCGGCTCTCTCCGACTTCCTTCTTCCGGTTCTCGAGTATTAACAGGTGCGCGAATGCCGAACGACCATAACTAGAATGGCTTTCAAACCCGTGACACACTGCATCTTCGATTTCGACGGTCTGCTCGTGGACACCGAGAGGCTCTACTTCAAGATCATCGACGATGTCCTCAAGGAATTCGGTCATCGTTACACCGTGGAGATCAAGCTCATGGTTCTTGGCTGCACAAGGAAGGATTGTGCAAGAATTGTCATCGATCATTGCCGTCTGAACATCACAATCGATGAATTCCTTCGCCTCATGGAAGAGAAATGCATTGAGACACTACCAAAATGCCAGTTGCTCCCCGGCGCAGAACGGCTCGTTCGCCATCTCGTCAAGAAAGGAATCCCGATCGCTATCGGCACCAGCAGCTCACTCGCAGCGCTCGAGCTGAAAACGACTCATCATGGGGATTTCATGAAGAATTTTACCCATCTGGTCAGTGCTACGGACGACCCGGAAGTCGCAGCTGGGAAACCCGCACCCGACGTCTTCCTAGTGTGTGCCCAGCGATTTGAGTCCCCCCCGCAGGCTAGTCGAGTTCTGGTGTTCGAGGATGCTCCTAATGGTGTTCGGGCAGCTCTGGCCGCCGGAATGCAAGCGGTGATGGTGCCCGACCCAGCTGTCGTTACTCAGGATCAGCGCAATGAAGCCACGCTCTGTTTGAACTCTCTCGAGCACTTTGAGCCCGAACTTTTTGGCCTCCCTCCATTCGACGATGAAATCCTGAGCGAATCACCTCCCCTCAATCCCAGGAATCTCTAGACTTCTCCCCGAATCGGCCCGACTTCCCGAGGGAATTTCCCGGTTGAGAAATTTCCGCGGAGGTCTGGAGCCATGCAGAACGCTCATCCTCCAAGAAGCCTGACCATACGGAAAACTAAAGCGTATATAATTGTGACATAAGTGTGAATCGAAGGATCTGTATCATTGAAAGACTGATGCATTCGAGAATTGAGAAATGAAAAACACACAACTGATGATGAACTTGATGGAGAAGAGTTTTCTTCGCGACAGAATGCGTTTCTCGGAGAGCCTCTCGAGATTCTCTTAGCACTCGGTCAGCATCGAGCTTTGGCGACCGATCCACTTGGCGATTCGATGGCGGAACTAAGCACTGTAGATTCATGCCGAAGTTCATCCCGAGTTACAGGCCTCAACCTTTGAGACTACGAATAACTACTATTGGAATAATTGGAATATAAGCTAGAGTATCGAGTCCGCCCGGACTCCACCACCCCCCCACATCCCTAGCCAATGAATACGAAGCATTTTTTCGATTTGATCGCGACACAGGCCATGCAGCCGTCTGCGAACATCTCCCGGGTGTTAATACTGAGAACTTCGATAAATTATTGCTACTTCAAAAAAAAAAGAACAATCAGAACGTCTAAGAAGCGCCTTCATTGAAGAAAGGTAACAAGTGAAGTCCTACAATTCCGAGACGAATCGTCTGGGCTTGTCGGAAGCCGATAGAGAAGTTGGACTGGCTTCGCGAAGTCTCTTGGGTGCCGATTCACGTATCGGAGATTCGGAAGTAGGAGTTGGGTCGAAAGCTGGTAAACCGAATAGCTCTGACTCGGAGTCCGATAGAGAGTCCAGGCATATCATTGGTTCTCTGCGCTGTCGTCGATGACAACTTTAGGATCATCATTTAGAACCATGACGTGTTGGAACCAGCTCTCGAGACTTAGCATCTGCAGCGGGTTGAAGAGTGGTCGTTTCTCTTCGTAGGGCGACAGTCGTAGGGGTTTGAAATCCGCCAACGACTCCAAGCAGATTGTCGCTCCCTTCCGCAGCTCATCGGTGACGAATCAATCAATCGGTCCGGAATCATGATGACTTGCGTCCCTGCGGATAATCCAGCTCAAACCTAATTGGGAGCGTCTTCGAACTCCAAGCAGTTCTCAGGGTTGGTAGCGGGACCGAATCTTCTTACAGCAACCAAGAACACGCCGGGACCGGGTTTCCCTGCGAGGAAGGACTTCAGGATCGTCCGTCCCGCTGACAATGTGATCGGAGAAGGTCTCGAGGTCTTTGTGGTGGGTGAACTTCGAGTCGACAAGTGCCAAGTTTCCAATGTTCTCAATGTTCCTTCATGATAGGAGGAACATTGAATCAGTCATTCAATGTTCCT